TAAAATCCTTTATTTCTCATGATAGGAGAACACTAGACATTTCACAGATACTTCAGAATTTCTCCTTGGAACATCATACAATGAAACTTAAAAAATTAACAATAAACACTTATATTTCCACATAGTCTGTGCACCTCCTTTCCTCATCCCTTGCCCTGTCATTATAACGTGGCAAGACTCTCAGTTTACCATTCACGAATGTCTTTTTCCCTTCTTGTTTTTTGCTTTAAAATTGTTTAGCATTTATTTATGAAAGCTACAACAATACATACAAGAATGCTCTCTTCTTGATTCCTACATGCACTTGCTGTATTAAAACAAATTATGTGTTTATTGTTTGCTTTTAAAATCAATTCACTAGAAATGCATTAGAGATCTATTATGTGCAAGAAAGGTATTAGAGGGATGCTGAGGTTTGGCAGTGAGTGTGAATGTATAAGGGATAAATGCATAAAATATGATCCCTTCTACTAATTCAGGAATAAACCAAGTACCTTTGTGCATCTGGCTTCCTCATATTGGAATGCCATTCTCCTATTCTCTAACCCCTGGAATCTCCACATCCTTCAGTTGCCTCCTTCTCTCTGAAGTCTTTCTGGAATTTTATAATCAAAGTTAATTACCCAGCTGTACTCTCAAGAGGTTATCATATGTCTATATGGCATTAATCATTTTGCCCTTTTTAATTATTGTTTTTGGTTTTATGTCTGATTTGACCCATTATATCTGTGCTGTGGCTATTCAATTTAAATTCAAGTGAAATAGTATTAAGAGTTCAGTTCTTCACCTGTACTAGCCACATTTCAATTGCTAAATAGCCCACTTTTCTCTAATAGTTACTATGTTGGTGATCAGAGACTTAGACCATTTCCACTATCACAGAAAGCTCTATTGGACAGTGCTACTCTAGATTGTGCATGCCTTTGAAGACAGTGACCATAATATTGAAACTAATAAGGTTCCAAAATTAATAAAATAATATGTCTAGAGAGGTATATTACAGTGGTGGTGTCGGACAAGAAGCAGGATCAAGATTGTTTGGCAAATAGACACAGAGCTTTGTGTTATCTTAGGTGGGTTCTGTTACATTTGAGAAGATTGCATTCTATTTTAAAGAAAGGCATGCATCTAAAATAAATAAAGATATCAGGAATTTAAAACACCATAAAAATCATATAGAACACGTGCCTCAAATTTTAATAAATGTGGCCACAGTGAAGTAAATGCATTAGAGAGACAATATCAGATTTTTTCTATCAATCCAAATATCCATAATATCTAGTCTACATTCCTATTCAATATTCTTTAGAAAAAGATTGTTGTAATGGCCTTCAAATGTAAGAATTCTAAGAAATTCTGCACTAATATCAAAGAAATGAGCACATTTATTCTTTACTCATACAATGAAAAATTAAGTTACTGCATTCAATTGAGCGTGAAAATAACACATAAAATTATTGGTTTGATAAAATATACTCCCTCCTTTTCTAAGTCTATAGCCATATAAAGCCATCCAATTTTGCTCAATATATACATTGGCTTTCAATTTAAAGGTTATCCATAAAGTAATATGAATATTCTGCAAGGGGAATAGGCCTGGTACAAAGGAAGGAGCATGGACTTTGGATTCAGACTAACTGGGCTTTCAATCCCAGCTCTGCCACTGACTGACATTATTGTATTGGGAGATATTTAAGTACTCCCAATCTGAGGCCACTGAACTTTACCATACAATTTTTTTTTTTACTGGTATATGGCCTTTCAATACTGAGTTAAAAACCTGCCTTCCAGTGAGCTTTCAGTACTCTCACCACCTAATTATAGCCAAATGACCTGGGATGTCATACTTGAGTTTTTTTGATGAATGTTTTTTTTTTTTTTTAATCATTGTCTGTCTTTGGATCTTATCCATATTTCTTGGGTAGCAACAGTTACAACTAAGCCAAAGTAATCTGAGCTCTCTATTCTGTTTGTTTTTTGTGTTTTTATGTATATACCATATTGTTTTTATTACTATAGTCTTGAAATAAAGTTTGAAATCTGAAAGCAAAAAAAGAAGACAAAGGACAGTTTTAATGGGTTTTAAGGACAGAGATAGCCTATGCTATTTAGCTTGAGTGTAGCTTAAAATAACACAAAGCTCTCAAAATTAAAAAGAATTTTAGAATAATATGTGCCACTTTATGTGCCAAGAACAGCACCACTGTTTGATTGGGCTGACCTGAAGAACTTTACTGTATAGTAATAACATTCACTACTCTAAGGACCTAGAACATGGTAGAGTTATGTCCACTGGAATGTTATTATGACAGAAGAAGGGATTAACGACATTAATTTGCCTGGTGTTAGGACCCTAAATTATAAGCAGCCCCATTCCAACACACACACACACACACACAATCTGACTTTTGTTTATTTTGAACCCCTTTACAATGTCTACCTCTTTAACCATCTGATTTGCTTGGCATGATGTAGGGGCATGGAGTGAGCTAGGTAGGTTTCTGAATCCTATGCTTTGACTATACTTAGTTAATCTGTTACCTAAATGAAAGCGTTAGGTTTCTCATCTGTGTAATAGAAAAAAAAATACTTACCTTGTGTGATTATTTCGTTTTGAAGTTTAAATGAGAAGCAGATGTTCTAAAGATTACTGATGTGATACTTTCTTAGCAAGTATTAATCTTCCCCCTTCCTTACCTTTCTCACATTTATGTTGTGAGGATTCAGTGAACTAATGTCATATATCATGAGAGGTGAAGAGCATAGAATTTGAATCAGATCTGAATTCAAATCTTGACCTGCTACTTATCAGCTGTGTGACCCTGGGGTATTATTTCATCTTTTAAAATACTTTAATTTTTAAATTTTAAAATGGGAATAATAACCCTAGTTCATGCAGTTTTTGTGAGGATAATGTAAAATGTATATAAATTTCTCTGGGCTAGACCTGGTGTTTTAAACTGTATTAAAACACTACTCCAGTTACTATCTGTAGTTTCACTTATGTTCAGCTTCTTCGAAGATATCTTCCAAACTAGATAATGAGTTCCTGGAGTGTTAGGAACCAGATTTGACTTTGTTGACTTCTGAAGAACCATTGGCGTAGTGCTAAGTGCATTATGCTCATGTCTGTTCAACTTTTGGCCAGTAGAATAAATGCTTGGGGTTTTTTACCTACTTAACTGTCAGTCACTATCCTTCAGATGGTCAATAGGAACAAAAGGTTTGGCTAAATTATTAATGTAAAGACAGCTGAATCAAATTCATAGGCTGTCTAAGTATAATATCCCAGCAATTGTATTGTGTGATTAGAAACTTGTAAATGATTAGTGACAAAAATTCATCTCATATTTGTATAATATTTATCAATTTATCTCATACATAGGCAATATCTACTGTATTGCTTTTTTAAAAAAGTGTGTGTGTGTGTGTGTGTGTGTGTGGTCTACTATTGTGTCATGTAATGCATGCCCCTGACATATACTGAATGCTCCCTAATGACTTCATGATGACTAGTTTTAAGGAAGAAAATAAAATTTAAAAAAGGAATTGAGCATAAGCAAAGAGGGAAGAAAGGAAAGTAATCAAGACGAGGAGATAGTGAATACCACCAGAGACTGACTTGGTCATTGCTTTCCTAACCTTCATATATGGATCTGTTAGTATAATTATGCAGTTTTTGTTTAAAAATACTATTTTTGTAAAAACATCATAGCTATGACATACTTAAAAATATACTTTTTTTTTTCCTTTTCTTTTCTTTTCTTTCTTTCTTTTTTTTTTTTTTTTTTTTTTTTTTGAGGCAGAGTTTCGCTCTTATTGCCCAAACTGGAATGCAATGGCACAATCTCAGGCTCACTGCAACCTCCGCCTCCTGGGTTCAAGCAATTCTCCTGCCTCAGTCTCCCAAGTAACTGGGAATACAGACATGCACCACCACACTCGGCTAATTGTGTATGTTTTTTCGTAGAAACAGGGTTTCTCCATGTTGGTCAGGCTGGTCTCGAACTCCTGACCTCCGGTGATTAAGCTACCAAAATTAAGTATTTGGGAGCCTGAAGGATAATTTAAAAATCATGCGCTGTAAGCCAGCCAAGAACAGATAATCTTGGAAATAAATTTTTCCTCAGTATTCTTTAAAATAATAAAATACACTGCAAAAATTTCAAGCATTTCCAAATCTTACTTTGTCATGCAATATTTGCTTATGCAGCAGTGATCTTGTTGATGCTCTGTACAATCTGTCATTTTATGGATTATCCCTATGAGGTAGATGCTAACCACTTCTTGATAAGAGAGGCAGAACACAGAAAGTTGAGTGGTTTGTCTTGGTTTCTAACAAAATAATAAACAATCAGAATAAGATTTTTATGGTGTGGGTTCTCCTGCATGATTTATCATTTTGAACTTTTTATGTGGTTCTGTCTATGGAGAAATTGAAAAGTGAGCAGATTTAGGGACTGATTGCTGTATATACATTATTTTCAGACCATAAGAGAGACAAACTTCCAGTTCCAGTTATTTCTGTTTAACATTTCTCTGCAAATAAGCAAGTCTTGTTTTATCCAGGCTTGGCCAAGTTAAATATGATCCCTGTGTTTTTCCCTTATGTTTGGAGATCTAGCAAAATATTCATCATTATACTGTTTATTGAAGTGAAAGCTTGTATGCGATTGTATGAATGCCTAATAGTCTTGAAGTAAAGGCGGTCAAATTCAGTAATGCTTGGAGAGACTGCATGTATTCTTCTCTACCATATATTTATAGCATTTGTTTGCAGGGCCAACATTTTTGTTTTGGTCCTGTAGAAAAGAATTTCTTAAAATGTTTTAAGATTTTTCAATTTCTCCTTAACATAATACATAAGCAACACTTTTTAGATAAAAGCTGTGTAAAGTTCGAAAAAAAAAAAAAAAAGAAAAACGTTATTTTCTTTTACCGTGTCCCCTGATCTCAAATCTTTTTATTTCTCTGTTTGTTTGTTTTAAATTTAATTTTAGAGGGCTGCTGAAGTATCAAACTAATTTAGATACCCACCCTCCCGGCTGCATCAATCTTAACCGAACCAGCTCTCAGAATATTTCCTTACCAGAATATTTCTCAGAACATTTTCATGAACCTTTCCCTGAAGAATTTTCAAAACCAGAAGAGTTTACCCAGAACACATTTGTGAAGATTTGTATGGAAGAGCCCAGATTCCAAGCTAATTTTCCACAGGTCAGATTAATTTTGTGTTTGATCTCCACAAAGTTTGTTTCCATTTGACTGATCAACATCACATATAAACGTTGTTTTCAAACTATATATTCATGCATAATAGGATATTTCAGGATGTTTCAATAGTAAGTTAGTACCTATTATTCCATTACAGGTACCTGACAGTTCAATGCAAAAGATCTATGATATTAGAGGATATATAACATTTCTACTTAACTGATCATATGACCTTTGCATACAACAGCATTGGTGCTTGCAGTCAAGAGATGACAAATATTTTTCCCATCAGTTGAGAGAAGCTGATTGAATAATAAAAATAGTAGTAAAAAAAATCTGCTACTACTACCACAAATTATTATTTTATTGTATTATAATATTGTGTATAATATTGTAAATAGTAAATAGCAAAATCAATTTATTGAATGCTTAATATTATCTGCTAGGCATTGTGCTAAAATGTCCTGTATGCCTAATACAGAACATTTATTAGACATACAGAATGTTTCTTACAATATTCACAATGACTATTTGAAGTAATTAATATCATCCTCGATTTTCTGATGAAGAAATTGTGTTTACCTTGATCAAAGTCTCCAAACTAGTAAGTGGCAGAGCAAGCACGTAAACCCAGGTCTTTGACTAATATGCTTGCTCCTGGTAAATGTCCATAAGTATTCAGCAATTAGTTCAATAAGGGCCCTTATCTTCCTCTGTGCCTGTGGGAACTGCCCCCGTGCAAATTACACCATTTATTCTTCATAAAAAGTGGAAGTAGGAAACAGTGATGTCAAATGTCTCTATTAGGAAGAGAAGAAAGAAAAGTCAAAAGGTAGAATGAATTTGTAGATGACTTTGGAATAGTGTATTAGTCTTGTGTTTGTTATTATTAATAATAATCCTCTAGATCTCTATTAGCCTCTATAATTTTCAGAACTTTTCTGAGTTTCACATAATATTCACAAATATTAGACAGGGCAGGTATGGTGACTCCCGTTTTGCTCACATAGGACCTGATACTCAAGGGGTAAGTGATTGTCTCAAAGGTACGAGGCTGCTACATTGCAGACCTTGTCTTGCAATGCTACTCATAACACAGTGTGGAGCTAAATGTTATTATATGCAGAAGAGGCATGATCTGTCTGCATGAAAGAAGGAAGATTTGAAACAACTAAAGTGAGACTTGAAAAAGTGACCATTAAGACAAGTTTTAGTTGGAGGCCTCAAAGGGATGTGAGAGATAAAGTGTGTAATTTTAGGAGAACGGTAAGCCCCACAGGCTTCTGCACTTCCCAGGGTTTGCACGTATCCTGGGAACAGGGTTAACCATGCAGCACATATTCAAAATTGTCATGGTTTCCAAATTATAAATATTATTTTATGTTCTTATTATATAGAAGTAAGTGGTAAACAACATGCCTAGAATAGTGCATTTTTAAACACATATGCTATACATGTTTAACATATGTATACATATTATATGTATGTATCTTATGCATATATTTTAGGTACATTAAAAATCTAGGGTTTTCTTATTTAATAAACTTTAGACAGTTACTTTATTTCTAAAATTATCCCCAGGTTCATCTGAGATTGTTAACTCCCCTTTATTCTTTTATTAAATATATTGTTTCTATGCCTACAGATATGTAATATATCTGTATATAGGTATAGGAAAGAATATACACTTATTTGTTCATGGTAGTTACATCCAGAGCATGACATTGAGGGTAGGGTCTTGATATTACTTTCTGTTTTGTTTTATACTTTTGTTTGTTTGAATGATAGTGAGCATCTATTATTTTTTATTCATTTATTATGTTTTCTTATTTAAAATACAAATTAAATACTACTACTGTAATGTATGCAATAAGCAATTGGGCCGGGTGTAGATTTCTACAATATGAGTATTTCTTGAAGTATATTTTCAAAAATTTGTCTTAGACTTGGCTTTGGATTTCTGGACCTTTGTGCCTGTACTGTGCCGAAAGACTTTACAGGTATATCCGGAGCAATAAGCCAGTCACCATCATTTCAGTCATAAGTCATCCCTCAGATGTCATGGAAATCCGAATGGTCAAAGAAAATTTTAAAGCAAGACCTGGTCAGGTGAGTCAGTGGTCAGTAACTTTTTAAATAGCCTTTATCCTTATGTAATTTTTGGAATTTAGCAAACATAGCATCATTGAGATAGTTGAAATTCTTAATTGGTCATTTAAAACTTATCTCTTTGTTGCTTTTTAGTATATTATTCTACATTGTCCCAGTGTATCTGCATTAGAAAATCATCCATTTACCCTCACAATGGTAAGAAATGTATCTCTTGCTTTTTCACATTTGTAGGGTGCTATGCATCTTTTTCTTTTTCTGTGGGTTCTATCTCATTCTAAAAGGTATTCAAGGCGATCATAGTATTCTTGATGTTTAAGTAAGCCATCTTTTTACAAGGAAAATAGTTATCTGCTCAAGAACTTGGTAACTATTCTTTATTATTTTTTGGTACCTTACATTTCAGGAAGTAATGAATTAAAGCATATTAAAGCTTGTTGATTCAAAATGTAGGCCAAGCACAGTGACTCGTGCCTGTAATCTCAGCACTTTGGGAGGTCAAGGCAGGAAGACCACTTGAGCCCAGGATTTCAAGATCAGCCTGAGCAACATAAGGAGAACTCATCTCTACAGTAAATTAAAAAAAAAAAAAAAAGCCAGGTGTGGTGATACACACCTGTAGTCCCAGCTACTAGGAAGGCTGAGGCAGGAGGATTGCTTGATCTCCCGTGTTTGAGGTTTCACTGAGCCTTGATCACACCACTGCTCTCCAGCCTGGGCAAGACAGTGAGACCTTGTCTCAAAAAAGAAATATATATATCTTTCTATATATATCTATATTTGTCAATATATAGATATATATAATTTCTTGAATATTTACTTTTCTCCTTTTATAGAGTATTTTAATGTATATGGAAATCATATTTGCACAGTTTTCTTTAGAGATGCAATTTAGGGAAAATACAGATACTCTGGGTTGAGGTGGAAGCATTAAACGAAACAGTCAGTGTTTAGAAAAGGTAAATCTAGTGTAATGGGAGAGAGAATGGGAAGTAAAATTAGAAAAATCAAATAGAGTAAATAATGGCATGTGGGTGGGGAGCATCTAGCTAAATAATGGAGACCATCAAATGTGATTAGCTAATCAGCATATCATTTAATATTATTATAAAAATAACATGAACTCATTATAAATATTTAGACAATTCACAGATATAAAATAAAATAGAGACTTAAAAAAATTGTTCCCCACTTCCCAATCCTTTTCTCTACAGTTTGACATATATCTTTACGGATATTTTCCCATATGCTTCTGCATACATGAGTTTCTAACATTTGTTTGCTGGATCATATTGTTTTGTAACTGGCTCCTTGCACTTGACTACATATGATGGACATCTTCCCATATTACTGTACATGTCTCATTCATGTTAATGACTGTATAATATTCCACAGTAGGAAAATACTGTAATTTATTTAATATTCTCATTGATGATGGATATTTGGACTTTATTCAATTTCTAAGAAATATAATTGAGAACAGAGACCACATGTTTAAATGTATACCTAAGAAAGATAGCAAAACTATTATATATATGTTGTAAAACATATTCCCATCTGTCTGCATCTATACATCCCATATATATGAAATTGGTAACATGAAAATAGAAGGGAATAATTGAAAAGGGAGAAAATATACAAGTAAGTTTGTCTTTACTTAAATAATTTAAGAAATTTGGCCTAATCCTGGGTTCATAAGAAATTTACTTCAGATTGCCCTGGCCAGAACTTCCAACACTACGTTGAATAGGAGTGGTGAGAGAGGGCATGACTGTCTTGTGCCAGTTTTCAAAGGGAATGCTTCCAGTTTTTGCCCATTCAGTATGATATTGGCTGTGGTTTTGTCATAAATAGCTTTTATTATTTTGAGATAGGTTCCATCAATACCCAGTTTATTGAGAGTTTTTAGCATGAAGGGCTGTTGAATTTTGTCAAAGACCTTTTCTGCATCTATTGAGATAATCAAGTGGTTTTTGTCTTTGGTTCTGTTTATGTGATGGATTATGTTTACTGATTTGCATATGTAGAACCAGCCGTGCATCCCAGGGATTAAGCCGACTTGATCTTGGTGGATAAGCTTTTTGATGTGCTGCTGGATTCAGTTTGCCAGTAATTTATTGAGGATTTTCGCATCAATGTTCATCAGGGATATTGGTCTAAAATTCTCCTTTTTTGTTGTGTCTCTGCCAGGCTTTGGTATCAGGATGATGCTGGCCTCATAAAATGAGTTAGGGAGGATTCCCTCTTTTTCTATTGATTGGAATAGTTTCAGAAGGAATGGTACCAGCTCCT